AGTGCCGCAAACCCAGAAGTTAGCATTCCAGTTTGCAAACATTCTTTGGAACCCGAACACGGCTTCCACAGCTTCTGATTGGCTAAAGGAGCTTCCTGCAGCCAATCAGAAGATGTGCCTTGGTTTCCGAATGTTTTGGAAGTCGAACAGAGGTACCACTGTATGTCCTCTTACACTCCTGTCCTTCCCATGCTGTGGAAGAACTAGAATCCCCCAATCATGGCCACTGCTGCACCATCCGTGAGTATGCTTACTGGTGTTATGCTCCTCAGGCAAGTTGACCAATGATGCCAACTGCTATTTGCATAAACTGACTGGTAAAAAAATATCAGAACCTGCTTTTGACTCAATTCAGTTGCATTCAAAATGTTGTTGGCATCTGTCTATCTCGGGAGACAGTGGAGGACTGATCCTTTGGGGGTGAAGGCAAACATTGGAGAGTTACAGCGCCTGCTGTGGCTGTAGAGACCAATGCAGGAGAGACATGTTTTGATGCAGCTGGGGCAGATGAAGGTGTCCGATCGTGCCTATGCAGATGCACCATGGTATTTCTTTTCTCTGCGATCCTCCCAACAGTCATTCCTCGCCTAGTCACTGCTGTGGATGCACAACCTGACCATTTGTCTCCAGGCATTGCGGTTGTCTGCAAGGGACTCTCACCCACTGGTGTCGCCAGCCTTCATGTCACGCTTTCAGACATCTTTGTAGTGCGGAGTTGCTCTTCCAACAGGCCTAGTGCCTAAAGCCAGCTCCCGGTAGAGCAAGTCTTTGGGGATCCTGCCATCTTCCATTCTGTGCCAGCGTAGACCCCAAAATCTAATTGGAAAGGATTCCTGCTGTTTGAAATGAAAAATACGGCAGGTTGGTTTCAGAAGGTACAGATATCTGGCAGATGGGTGGTAGAGACTCCCTGGCCTCATTCCTCGCTATTTCTTGGGATGCTTTCATGTTGCATAGTTGTGGCCTGGCATTCACCATCCTAGGGGAAGTCAGGAGGAGAAGAGGACACACAAACGTGATCCTCCCCTTGGGATCACCCTGTTTACTTGGATAGGCACCAGTCTTAGGAATGGGCTGGAAATAACATCGGCTGTCACAGATTCCATTCAGTCTGAATCTGAATATAAACAGTGTTTATATTCACTCCATCCTGAGGTTCCTATGGTCTCATCACATCAGTAGTATACAATCACTGTAACAGGGAATGTTAATAATCTAACTTCTGTGGAGCTGGAAACGTACAGAAAAGGGCAACCAAACTGATCAAGGGACTGGAGCAATTCCCCTACAAGAAAAGGTTACAATGTTTGACACTTCTAAGTTTAGAGGAAAAGCAACATCCAATATATTATTTGCAAATGAATAAACAAGCATTGTACTTTTTATTGTGTCAAAACCTGTAGTGGCTTCTACTGAATTAGTGGAAGAGTGCAATGTTCAGATCTGAAAGAAATTGGTTTCACCTTGTTGGGAGAGTAGGGTAGGGAGGGAAAACCCCCATCATTTTGATATTAATGGAGATTGAGAAATGGGGGAGCCTGCAAATAGCCCTGCTTTCCCTTTTTCTTTCTAATGAATTTCTTTTGGGGCCTTTTGAACGATGGGAAAGTGCTGGACTTCATGTACTGCCCTGCCCCTGTGATTAGCTAGGAACACAAAACAATATCCTTGGAATCTGTGCCCATTTCCTCTTGGAAGGAGCTGCGAGTGAGTTTCCTAACTGCCACAGCTCCCACCCATATCTTCCTGAGCTCGCCCTTCCAATCTTAAGTGCAGCATTTAGAGACAGGTCAGGCCACTTGCTGAAGGTTTGCCCTTGCTCAGCCTGCTGGCGGCGAGGCATGTTTTTCCTCTTGACCTTGGCATAAATGGAAGGACAGCCTTCAGCCCCGATGAGAGAGGGAAAAGGTGGAAAGATGGAAAAGACAACTAAGCACATTTAGATTGCTTTTGGTTTCCTTTTAGGCTGTACCGGCTGGTGTGAATTGAGCAAAATTGTGGGGCAGGATGGGCGGCGGGGGGGGGGGGGGGGCCCGGAAAAGGATCCTTTCCAAAAAGAAGTATTGTTACTAAATATATATATATATTGCTTCAAAGAATTGTTTGCTTACCTATTGTGCTAAGAAGAATCGGTGCAGTAGACAGATAACATGCTATCTGTGCGCACATGCAAAAGTGGAAACTGCCTTCTGCTTCTGCGTGTGTGTGTGTGTGTGTTAGTATTGCAATTGTATCCTGTGCACCCTTGAAGGCGTCAGGGTGAAAATCTCATTTCATCCTTACAACAACTCTGTGAAGTAGGTTAGACTGTGAGACACAGGCTGTGTGCACACTAACTGGCACGGAACATGCAAATGTAGAGAGCCAGTGTGGTGTAGTGGTTGAGAGCGGTAGTCTTGTAATCTGGTGAACCGGGTTCGCGTCTCCGCTACTCCACATGCAGCTGCTGGGTGACCTTGGGCCAGTCACACTTCTCTGAAGTCTCTCAGCTCCACTCACCTCACAGGGTGTTTGTTGTGGGGGAGGAAGGGAAAGGAGAATGTTAGTCGCTTTGAGACTCCTTAGGGTAGTTATAAAGCGGGATATCAAATCCAAACTCTTCTTCTTCTTCTTCTTCTTCCCAATCCGAAATTGTCTCGTCTTGTCCTCCACATGCCGCTTTCAATCTAGATCAATACTAGATCCTGTCACCCACAAGGATGTGCATGGTTATTTAATTCACCTTTGAAACCCCTCCCCTTGTTGATGTTATCCATGCCTTTTCCTCCCTGCATGTGCCACAGGTGAACAAAGAAAGATGTGGGGATTACCAACTTCTGCGTATATGGCCACCCACGTCACTGGGCAGGTGTGGACACACCACCATGTTGCTGGGACCACCTGCATCTGTTTTCATATGTACACACTGTGGGATCATGCAGAATCAATCTGCAATGAGCTTTCGTTTTCAGAATGGAAACAACTTCTGGTGTACTTATTTCCCATTTGCCCCATTAAGAAAATTGGGGTGAAACATCCCCTCTCCTGTTCCTATTTTTCCACTGTTGTTGCTTCAGTTTTCTGTACACCACTTTGAGATTTTTTTCAATAAATTGAGCAGTATAGAAATTAAAGAATCGATCAACAATCAATCAATCAATCAATCAATCAATCAATCAATCAAAATGAATAGGTGAGAAGGAGCTAAATTACTTGTGACACTTATTGCTTGTATGGAAAACAATTAGCTTTGTTTGTCCATGTTACCCAAACCTCTGAGCCTGTATCTATGGAACATTCTTTGGATCTGAACTCTAGAATCATAGAGTTGGAAGGGATCTTGAGGACCATCTCGTCCAACCTGCAACCTTGGCGTTATCAGCACCACGCCATAACCAACTGAGCTATGCAAGGCAGGGCTGCAGAATACAGCTGAGGAAAAAAAGGGAAACATCTTGGTCTTGCAAACCTGCCAGTTGGATTATTTGAGTTTGCTGCAGAACACTGGTTTGAAGAGTTCATGGTATTCTTCTTACTTCATAGCATCACCTTTGACTTTGTACTGAATCTGGCCCGGGTCTAATCCTGAAGCTAGGCATCAAGTACGCAGGCTGAATGCATACTTTGTAGAGAGGTGGCCACCACTGGGAAGCCGAGAAGCCTTTGTAGAACATTGTGTGTGTTTTGTTCTATATATGGATAGGAGGAGATGACATTTTAGAAAGCCAATGGTAATGATTAGAGTTTTTAGTTTTAAGTAGTCATTTAGTCATAAAAGACTGAATTCAAATGCTTCAGAAAAATAGTCTTTTCCTCTCACTTGATGATAGGTTTCCTCTGACTGCCATAATTGTTCATCTTTTTAATGCATGCATAACAGACAATGACCTGTGATTAAGTCTCCACCCAGGGCTTCCCCTTTGAAGATAAGGATGAGGCGCTGAGGTCACTTTGACTCCCTAGCAAAGAAGTGGATTAATGCTGGACCAGGGGCATTAGACATCACAATTCAGGATGCATGGCTACTTCATGCATCATATATCTATATATATATAGAGAGAGACACTTCACCCTTGTTTGGACCTATTTTTCATATACAGAGAATATCTTTATATAGTTCCTTTTTTGACTTGCAAACTACTAATCACAAGGCAAATGGGTGTGTTAAATTGCAGGTTGCAATCTGAGGCTAAATATTATGGCGCAACTTCATGACCGTCAAAAATTAAAGCCAAGTTCTCCTACAAAGGAACTAGGTTGTTTTTTAAAGTACAAAATAATAGCATATTCTTACCTAGATAATTAACAATAGAGATTAGAATAGAGGCTTAATCTGAGTGAATGGTGGCTTTGGGAGTTCCTTGTGAGAACAATAAGGAGTGGTTGTGTATGTGTGTTTTGCAAACAAATGCTTGTGTTTGGTGTATGATGTTACAGGCATAAAGTAAAAAAAAAACAAACCCAACCCATTTGCAAACAGTACAGTGGTGCCTCGCAAGACGAAATTAATTCGTTCCGCAAGTTTTTTCTTCTTGCGAGTTTTTCGTCTTGCGATGCACGGTTTCCCATAGGAATGCATTGAAAATCAATTAATGCGTTCCTAGGGAAACCGACTTCAGACCAGGTCCGGGACAGTCTGTCCCCCGACCTCTTCTGAAGGCTGGGGGGACAAGGGCTTTTCTTCCACCCCCAGCATTTTAAAATTGCCCCGGGACAGCGGAGGGCTTCTCCGCTGGCCGGGGCGATCTTAAAATGCTGGCGGGCGGCATTTTAAAATTGCCCCGGGACAGCGGAGGACTTCTCCGCTGTCCGGGGCAATTTAAAAGCCCCTGGGAAGGCAGGCAGGGGGACAAAGACTTTTGCCCCCGCCAGCCTTCAGAAGAGGTCCTGGACCTCTTCTGAAGGTTGGCGGGGGCGAAAGTCTTGTCCCCCCACCTGCCTTCAAAAGCTGTCCAGCCAAGGCTCGCGGACCTCTCCGCAAGCAGCGGCAGCGCTGCCGCTGCTTGCGGAGAGTTGCCGGCATGCCGAAGCCTGCGCGCGCTGAGATCAGCGCGCCCAGGCTTCCGCGGACCTCTCCGCGAGCAGCGGCAGCGCTGCCGCTGCTTGCGGAGAGTTGCCGGCATGCCGAGCCTGCGCGCGCTGAGATCAGCGCGCCCAGGCTCCGCGGACCTCTCCGCGAGCAGCGGCTAGCGCTGCCGCTGCTTGCGGAGAGTTGCCGGCATGCCGAGCCTGCGCGCGCTGAGATCAGCGCGCCCAGGCTTCGCGGACCTCTCCGCGAGCAGCGGCAGCGCTGCCGCTGCTCGCGGAGAGTTGCCGGCATGCCGAAGCCTGCGCGCGCTGAGATCAGCGCGCCCAGGCTCGCGGACCTCTCCGCGAGCAGCGGCAGCGCTGCCGCTGCTCGCGGAGAGTTGCCGGCATGCCGAAGCCTGCGCGCGCTGAGATCAGCGCGCCCAGGCTCCGCGGACCTCTCCGCGAGCAGCAGCAGCGCTGCCGCTGCTCGCGGAGAGTTGCCGGCATGCCGAAGCCTGCGCGCGCTGAGATCAGCGCGCCCCGGCGCCGCGGACCTCTCCGCGAGCAGCGGCAGCGCGCTGCCGCTGCTCGCGGAGAGTTGCCGGCATGCCGAAGCCTGCGCGCGCTGAGATCAGCGCGCCCAGGCTTCAGCGGATCGGAGATTTCCCTATGGGCTTTCGTCTTGCGAAGCAAGCCCATAGGAAGTTCGTTTCATGAAGCGCCTCCAAAACGGAAAACCCTTTCGTCTAGCGGGTTTTTCGTCTTGCGAGGCGTTCGTCTTGCGGGGCACCACTGTACTATAGTACTACATTTTAAAATGTTCTTCCTTTCTGATGGATCTTTCAGAGTACCTCAATTGAAAATTCAATCCAGATATCTGCAAATCTTCATCTTTGTGTGAACTTCAATATTGTGTACAAACACAACGTCCTTGTGGGGCCCATTTTGATGGACACACAGAGCTCTTATCTCTCCTAATGGAACTTTCACTCCCCCTTAGGGGAAGGAAAGAGATTATCTAACTTAATTGCTTTTCCCTTCAGAAAGCCACAATATGACATGTAAAATTATAAAGCTGTGAAGATGATGTTCTATACTACCCCTCCCTTCTTCCTTCTAGTATGTTCTTTGCCCCAGCTTCTGTTTTCAAGCCTGAGGGAGGACCCCTCCCTCCCCATGCTTATTACCCCACAATTTCATTCTTAGACGAAGCACTTGCTCTGCACGTTGGCTGCAAGCTTAAATCCCTGTGTTCTGAATGAAGAATATGTCTCTCGAACTCTGCCATTCACATACAGCAGACACTCGCGTCTGAGTGCTGGCCAACAGGGGTGTTGCAAAGTACACTTAGAAGAGTCAGGGCACAGGCCTGCAACCCAAATCTAAATAAAACTTGCATATTCAGGTCTTGGAGCAAATAAAAACTGTGAGTCTCCGGGAGCTGCCATTTAAGCACCATAAAAATTAAATTAAAAAAACGTTTTCAAAGGCAGGAAGGGCCCAGTGCAAAAAAACAACCCCGGGGCTGCATTCACCTAACAAAGCCCCTGTTGGCAAGCTGGGAGAGATGGCCAGGAGGCCAGGCCAGAACTGCAGTTTTTGAGGCTGAATGGTAGGGCAGAAAACTGAGCAGGAGGTTGGTGCAGTAGGTTACAGGAAGGTAGGAGGGAAGCCCAGAGGCGTAACTAGGGTCCCTTGCATCCTTGACAAGGAACTGTATCGGCACCTGCCCCCCTCCCCTAAAAATCATCATTTCCCCCGCAAAAGCCACATTCAAAATCACTGCATTTTAGGTGACCCAAGTACTCAAAATGTCTGGAATGAGGGCAAGGCGAGGAGGAAGGGTGAAAAAAAATTACACACCTTCGTGCCATGGTGCAAGAAGGATGGGGAGCTTCTCTCACATTTGATCTTGTGCATTGTCACACACGTATACATCACACACTCCACAGTGTATTGGTGCTTTTTTGTGCCTATCAGGTAAGTATGTGAAACTGTTGGCTTGCATCTCTGGGATGGATAGCAGGCTGAAGCAAATTTGCTATATGGGAATCTGTGCCATTTAAAAATCCATTACATAACAGAGAGCGTGCAGGAGGCAAAGCCTGGAACAACTGTTATTCTGGTGTGGAAAAACTGTATTTTCTAAATGAAGACAGCTGGTTTGTCCACCATATATTGGTACTGACAGTATTGTTTTCTTGTGAGCATGCTCTGTTGAATCACACTTTTCCACTTGTCACTCCAGCAACATTCCCCCCCTCCACTGCAAATGTGTCCCTGAACCAGCTGAAATTACAAAGCAGGGATTTAAAAAACAGCAACAACTAATTACGGCTTTATCTTGTGATAAATATAATTAGGCCCTGGGTGTTTCTGGGTAATCTGTACACTGATGTTAAGGGTTTCAAAACAGAGGTTTTTTTTTCTGGAAACGTGTCAGATTAATGTAGGTAAACATGCTTTTTAAAATTCTGTTTTAATTCATCACAGAATATATTCAGTATGGGCAATAAAAGAAAGCAAAAATTGTTAATATAATTTGCAATGTTACCTCTCAGATTTGTTTTATATAAAAAGAGGCGAACTAAAAATCTTATCTTTAGATCCTTCCCCTAGTTGCAGATGTGCAAGTGCTGAGTGTGACAGTGTAGGAGCGATGGGTGTGAAACATACATTGCATTTACAATTCATTTATTCATATTGATGGCCTACTCTGTTGAAGCAAATAAGAAAAGCATTAGTCTCTTGAGCAGCAAACAGAATCAAATTCCAAGCTTGCATCCCTATACCTTAATTTCCACTGTTGAATTCAGTGGAACTTCCTTCTGAGTAGACTTGTAGAGGATTGTGCCATAGATGATGTTACCTTCTCTGCATACACTCTGGGATGAAATGAACGATGCAGATCAGATTTCAGTTTGCTCCCTTATGAATGGTGCTGAGTGGGAACGAAACCACACCTGACTTTCCCATTCACCCACCCAGTTCATCTGCTCCATGGTTGAGGTCACTGGCATTAGGTGGTCATGAATGCTCTGCTTTCAATAGGACAGCCCAATATTTGAAGGGCTGTTGGGGGAGGTATCCTGTCTATCCAGCCCTAGGGCTGAGATGTCAGTAATGAAAGTCTGCTGATCCTATCCACTCTTAACCATTTTATGGGGAACCCTTATTGTACAGATCTTGAGAATATTGATCAGCCCAAGATTTAGAAACTAAACTGAACACACAGTTTTAATGCTTAAACTGTAGATGCGGCAAATTATTCTGAAGATGCCTTGGGAGATTGCTTGAATAATGTAATACTGGATTTCCGCTTCTGCATTTAGTATACCTTGTGTTGTGCTTATACAACATCTCCTTGTGATGTCTCTGTAAGTACTTTCTGTGAATATCAGGTGCTGCGGAGAGGAGATTCTAGGGTCCCCCTGTGACATTCAACACAACCAGTTATGATGTGCTGTGCTTTGATGGCATCAGCTAGCAAAGGGATATCGGCTGTCTGTGATAAGCCAGAACTGTGCTTTTATTAGAGCACATCATTGCTTGCTAGCACTTGACTGCATTCCTTTTTGGCAGACGTTTTAATATTGCTGAAGTCCATGATTTATACTCTCAAAATGCCGGGGCTTTTCCTGAATCAGGACCCCATTTCATGCTTATTATCTAGGGGGAAGCCTCACACGTAAAGCTACATGGCTGGGCTCCTTTCCAATGATATAACCAGAGCAAGATTCTATAAATGTTTCACATAGCTGGCGAAAGAGCGGATAATTTTGTTAAGCATATAAATGTCAATAATCCTTTCCAGAATACTGCTAAAACCTTCACCACATATATGTGTATCTTATGAGATACATATATATATAGCTCCACTTCTACGGAGCTATTAAAAAAAAATCCCAGAGCTGGAGCCAAGTGTTATATGAGAATACATCCAAATAAAATGGAAACTGGAAGTGAGGGATTACCCAGATCATATCCTCAAACCAGCAGTTCTCCACTAATGTTCAGGCTGCCCTACTCGGCCTGCACAGGCTGTAGGCTTGTAAATCAGTAACGCCTTTGACAGCGCGAGCAAGATTCTGGGCCCGCAGCTTTGATTACAGAAGGAAACTGAACCACAGCAATCTGTTCTGAAGGTGGCTCTGTTTTGTTGATCACCCTGGCAAACTACACATTACACACAATGCTTGAGATTTAACGAGACTTAAATGCTTCACTTTGGATAGGTGGTGCCCGGCGTTACTTCCTCTCTCACTCTTGAATTTGTCAGTGTATTCTAAAGATGATGAATGAACCAGCTTTATCTGTGAAGAGAAGTGGATTGCTGTGGCTATTTGGGTCACTATCTGAGCCATCCTGAGTAAGTAAAAGGCAGCTCTCCTCCTTCTATTGATACACAGACTGGTTATGTGAGCTCTCAGCCACTGTATCAGTGGAAAAAGTGACTCTATCGAACACAAAGGCATGGAAAAATGTTAACCTAGTCAGAAAGTTGCATGCCACTGAAATTTAATACATTCTGTGGCCTCTCCTCCTTGACTGCCTTCTTGGCTCGTAATCTGTTTAAACAGTGTTGATGCTCTTAAATTGCCTCCATTGATTTGGGTTTTTTAAAATTATATTTTGGTTCCTTCATTAAAGACACAGAATTTTGCACTGAACAATGCCTGCACCTGCCTTTTGTGCAGAATCCATGGATTTTATATCTATATTTATATCCATAATTATTTTAGTTATTTAATGTTTTAAAGGGATAATACCTGTAAAGGAAAAAAGAGATCATTTTTGTAAGCATGAATAATGATCAGCATGTAATCTGACAATTTGATCAGTCAAGTAAGATAAATGAGATAGGTGGAAATTATTCACTGAGTGGAGGCAGTCTCATTTTCTGGTTCATGGGGCTAGTTATAATGCTTATATCTTAATTTATAAAACAAAGTAATGATTAATGGATGTTATGGTGTTTACACGGCTTTTCCAAACACATGCTAATTGTTGTTATGGAAGGATGGTGGTAAATGAAGTACCAAGCTGAGTTCAAGGTGCTGGTTTTGTTGTATGTATAATTTGGGACCAGGATACCTGTGTTCTGCAGGTGAGGGCCTCCTGCAGATACAATCTTATCAGGAGGTCTGTTCTGCACAATCGAGAAATTGGTCCTTTTAGTATTGTGGCACCTACCCTATGCTATTCTCTCCCCTTGAATATTAGACAAACACCATTTTTGTTCTCTTCAACACCTACTGAAGGCTCTCCTACTGAAGACAACCCTTTTAAGTTGAGTCTGCACTGGAATTCTTTTAAAGATGTTTCAAGGATGTTTTTTAGGAGGGAGGGTGGGGTGTAAATTTACTGGTTTTGGGGTGATACGGAAAAATGCCCATTTTAAAAAGGCGCTTGTCATCTGTGGCTTTAGGAGCACTTATATTTCTAAAATCTGGTGCCCAGTTAATCAGGGTGGCTTTGCAGGTTTTTAAAAATAAATTTTATTAAATAAATAAACAATAAATATAAATAAAATAACACAAGCCAAAACTCAATCCATCCTGTAGATTTAAGTATCTGTCCATAGTCGCCTACTTGTTATCAGAGGCCAGAATCAACATTCCTTTGTAAG